AGAGAGAGAGAGAGAGAGAGAGAGAGAGAGAGAGAGAGAGAGAGAGAGAGAGAGAGAGATGGAGATGAAAAACTTGGTATGCAGACAAAGTGAGTAAACGTTACCGAGAATAATTCGGTCCTTGCTGACAATGCAAGCTCCGACCTGACACATGTAAAAACATCACAAAAAATTGGAACAGTTCATTCGAAAATTAGCAGCTCTCCTAATATACTTCTTCCCTTCAGTGCGGTTTCTTATTCAACAGAGTTATACCAGTCACTAAATCTTGTGACCATATCCAAGGTTCAGACGAAAAGCATGTATGACTGACTCTACGATGTGGGGCCAGTCCCACTGGGGTCCATGGCCGTCGTTCCAGCATTTTGCCCATTGTGAACATGGTGAATCCATCCTGCCAAGTGCTCCTGCAACATAGACTTGTCATTTCCACATTTGGTGAGTAGTGGAAGGAGGCCTTTTGTCTATCTTGTTCTTCGTACCGAAATCTGATGGTCAGATTCGGATGATGAAAGTCAACTCTTGTTCAATCTTGGCCGCTAGATTTCGAAATCTGGGCATAGAGATATGTCAGTGGGTCCGAGCCCATGATTCCGACGTGCAAGTGTGGCAAAGACAACTACCTTCTTCCCCCAAATACAACATACGGTCATTATAGCCGTATTTGAGGCATCTTTCAGTCTAGATACAGCTATAATGACCGTACGTTGTATTCGGGGGAAGAAGGTAGTTCACTTTGAGAACCCATGGAATCACTCACAAATAAAACACGTGACTTCACAGTTCAATGCTCCAATCTCTAAATAGTAAATACTAAACGAAACAAGGGTAGCAATGAAATCTTTTTCTTCTTCTTCGTCGCGCATGGATGGCAGCATGTCGGGTGGTGGTGCTACCAGGTCACACAAGGGGAAGGAGAAGGCCAGCTGCAGCGCATCCAGGGCGGGCAGCGATAGGTCGGCAATGAGCAGGCGAGGCGCCTACGCCGGCCATGGACTCCTCTCTTTCCAATTCTCAGGACGAGATGACGCAGAAACGCTTGCAAGGCGTGCACAACATGCAGCAATGGGTGGAGCGAGGGCAGGAGGCAACTTGCAACAGACATGGTGAGTACTGTGTGCCATGTGGACTTGCTCATCATTCGGCAGGGCACGACCTCCAGACACATGGAGCGTTCCATGCGAATACAAAACCCGTGTGCATTTCAGACGGCAGAGATACTTCTTGTGCTTGTTGCTGCTGGTGCAAAGGCCAAACCAACTGAAAAGGAGACAAAGTACCTCGTGAGGGTTGGGAAGGATTCAAGAGGGGAGGAGGCAGCAATTGAGAAGGGGGAAGTGGGTGGTTTGCCAGCCAGAACCACAATCACCGCCTGTTGCAGGTAGAGCGCCTGCGGACTGCATTGAGGTGCCAATTGACATGGACGAGGATGCTGCAGGATGGAGCGGGTCATGCGCATATTTGACAAATTTACAACAGGCGGTGCAGACCACAATCAAGAGGCCGGCGGATAACCAGGCGCCAAGGAAGTTCGACGCGGCACGGGCGGAAGCTATGTTGTGTGTAGAGATCGTGTTCAACTTCTTGCAGTTTGGCATGGCACAGACATCGCCAGATATGTATCTGTAGGTAGCAAACGTGAGGCCGAGGGCGAAGCTGCCAACATACAAGCACATAAGGACTGTCTTGCTCAATTTTATTTTCCTCTGCATAAAGAAGTGGTGCAGCCAGTTTGCACGGTGCTGGGGCAAGTCTGGACGCACCGTTATCACAGATGGGTCAACAAACCGTTGTAATTGGCCTATCATGAACTTCCTAGGGGGCGTGGAGCAAGGAGCAATGCTTGTGACAACGGTATGTATGCCGAGAAGGCAGGATACAACAGCAGCACTGGCGAAGCTGTGGGAGAAGATAATGTGCGAGCTGCACCATTTGCACAGACAAAGAATAGGTCAACAAGAAGACGGCACAAATACTTGAGTGCCACAACAACAACAATGTGGCATTGATCCTGTAGGCTACTTGCGCTGCCCACTACTGCAGTCTGCTTTTGCGCGACATCAGCAAACTCAATTGGGTGCAGGGCCTCGTCTCAAGGGCGTATACAATGGTTAAGTTCATTAGGAACCATCACAACATTCATGGGCTGATGATGTCCAGGTAGGCTGCAAAGTGGAGGGCAATTCACTGTGCAGTGCAAGGTTAAGGAAAAAAGGATTTGGGTGAAGTACTTCACTGTCCTGCAAACGAAATGGTGAACACAAATACGGAGGCGGTCGACATAATGGAGTGGGCATACAACTTGTTGTGGAGGATGGAGTGGGATGGCACCACTCCCACCACCCTGGTGAGGTTTCATAAGATGATTCACAGGAAATTGTCAGCGGTGGTGACAATAGACGCGGAGTGGAAGGATGTCATGGAGAAGGTGTTGTATCAGGTGACGATCGTGCGGCAACCCGTTCACACTGCTGCATTTGTCGTGGACCTGCGAAGGAGGGATGCATGGTAGATGCATGATGAGAATGACCCATTGTTTCAAAACGCCTCGAGGTTCCTCTTGAGACAGGTTGGGGGGAAGTGGAGGGAAAGGAGAGTACACAAATATGTGGGGATGGCTATACGACTTCCGCAAGAAGCCCGGCCAGAACGAGCCAGACATGTTGGGTGACAGGATGCGAATAGACACTGCAGTGTCTAATCATATGCGACGCACTCAATCAGATTGGTGGCCGGTGCATGGAGGCGGTGTTCTCGAGCTGCATCCGATTGTGATGAAGGTGATGGGTATGTGAAGTACAGGGACTCCGACAGAGACGAAATGTGCTTCGACGAACTTCATCCACTTGAGGAGGAGGAACAACCTGTCTCCAAAGTCCTCAGAGAAAATTGTGTACATTCATTGGAACACGCATGTGACGCACAGGGACTTCGACGAACTTCATCCACTTATGTGCATGAACGGGTTCCTGAGCCCTTTCCTTTTTTTGGGTGCTTCTTCGGTGACCGGGCTCGAACTAATCCAGTTCCAGTTCCTCTACCCAGTCCAGATTGCATTCCTGCTAGATGATGACGCCAGAGCTCAGGTTGTCTCGGCCGACATGGGGCGGTAATTTTGATTCGCCGAGCCCTTCACTGTTTCGCAGGGCTTGTCCTTGATAGGCTGCGACGTATGGGACACGTCGGCCGATCCTAACCTTGAGTTTTTGCATTTCTCGAAATTGTCCTTAGAATTTATGCGCGTCTGACCAAGCGTGCTCGGAATTCTTTTTCTCTCAGTTTTTCCAAGTTCCGTATATCACGGGTGCCTATTGGGATACTCTGTAAGGAGTCCTTTCTTTGTGCATGTATATTTTTGAGACATCCCCACGAACCTTGTGAAAACGACTCCTTTCTTTATGCATGTACATTTTAGAGACATCCCCACAAGCCCTGTGAAATTATTGGTGACGAATGGTAGAATAGGAATCGACATAGGAATTTGCGCGCCTTAGAACTCGCACGAGGAATTTTTCTTTCGAAGTTTTCAAGTTCAAATCGGCTTTAAGAAATAGGCGCAGCTTCACTGGCATTTCGCGTAACTATTTTGGTGCCTTTTTATTTTGAGCGCATCTATCTCTTTGTGTCGTGTTCTTGCATGCAATCTTTCCTTGCTTCCTCAACCTCTTTCTTCGCGCCAGCATCGACAAATTGAACTGTCTTCTTCTCCCTTCCCTCTACGCTCTTTCTTTCTTCTTGCTCCCGTTGAATCTTGGTCTTGCTTCATACTGCTTCCTGTAACCTCCTTTCCCAACTTCGTCTACACAAGAGAGGGCTTGTTGATCCCCGGCGTAATCGTAGAAGTCGGACGGCGCGTGCAAGGAGGCTCTGAACTCCTCACACTGCACTCCGATTGGCTACTCTATGAGGATCGCCTTCATCTACACGAGAGAGGGCCCTGTTGATCCCCGAAGTGATCGTAGAAGTCGGACGACAGCGTTCAAGGAGGCTCTGAACTCCTCACACTACAATCCGAATGGCTACGAAGTACTCTACGAGGATCAACATGACCTCCACGCGTGCCTCCCCCTTTTTTGTCTCTCCTCTCTTTTATCCCTCATCATCGCTCTTTTCTCTTGTCTTTCGCAACTATAAATTTCGCAAGAGCATCGTTTTTCCTCTCTCGCAATGCATCGGCCAACTTTGCTGGAGTAGTGGCTAGATGAGGTGGTGATCAGCGAGTCGGAAAGTCCTGACGAGTTGGCTGCAGCTTCGCGGGATTGTGCGCTGGATCGCTGTGGCAGACTGCAGGATCCGGGCGAATCCGTGTAGCAGTTGAGTGGACAGGGTGATGATCGTTGGGGTTTAGCGCTGAGTACGTGGCAGCCAGGATCGCCAGTGCTCGAGTGAGGTGAGGTGTATTGATGGTTGGTTGACTGGCCCAGGGCCATAACTCTAGAGCGAGAGGTTTTGTGTCTTGCCCTCTTCTTCCGTCCTACGATTGGATTTTGCATGGTGAGATGCCAAATTTCCTTCTCAATCAAGTGAGTGTATATTCTCTCTTTCCCCCTCTCCCCCTTTCTTTCAATGGATGTATGAATGAATGGTGGCTGTACGTGCATGACTTGCAACGGTTGCATGTGTGTAAGTGTGCCCTTGAGTCTCGCCCCTCGTTTCGCCCTTCTGTTTTCAGGATCTCGCTGGGCGAGGATCTTCAAACGCGAGAGCCGTGCCTTTTCGATGCTAGTGTGCATGCTCTCTCTCTCTCTCTCTCTCTCTCTCTCTCTCTCTCTCTCTCTCTCTCTCTCTCTCTCTCTCTCTCTCTCNCACACACACACACACACACACACACACACACACACACACACACACACACACACACATGGATCTTTCCAGATGTCATGTATCGATGATGGATGAATCAATGGTTGCTACTTTCCTTCGCTCTCTGTAGTTAGGAATTTTCTTGGAGACATCCTCTGCACTCTCGAGCAGCGAAGGCGGCGCTTCTCTCGTTACAATCTTCCAAATGCAAGAGGAAAGTAATGAGTGGAACGACGGCGCTCCCGCGGCTCGAGGACGCAAAGCACTCCGACTGACTATCGTCCTAATTTTTGCGCTTTCTTCATCTTTATTTTGAATAAATATCCCCTAGTATGATTAGA